ACAACACACATAGGGCGCACCGCACCAAAGGGCGCACCGCACATTTTGAGAGGAAAAAAAGACGTTTATGTGCGCCTTATAGTCTTGAAAATACGGTAATTGATTAATAACATTTTATTTGAGGCTTCCAGGAGATTCTGTAACTTATCTAGATCCCAGTGATGCATCCTCAGCTTATCTATCTCTGCAGTATTCCGTCCCTCTGACATGTAGATCCTGTATTCAGGATCTTTACTCACTTGCAGCCATCAAGCCAAACATCTCCTCCTCTCAGCCACGCTCCATGATCCTGGTTTTTGAAGGCTATGAAATGACTGATGATGGCAGGAACTCTGGGTTTGAAGATGTCTGCATCTTGGTGTGGACTGTACCTAAGCAAAGTAACACAGTGTTACCATCAAACCACACAGCAGGTATTTCTCACAGGTTTTCCTCTGTGGTCCATGTAGATTGTGAGGTCATGAAGTTACTGGCCAGTGCAGCCGTGAGTGAAAATGCCCACACTGTTCAGAAGAAGCCATCTTCCCTCCCAGGGGTCATGAGAGTTTTAACAGCTCTCAGCTGTAATTGGGGAGCAGTTGCGTTATATTTGAAGCTATAGCTCTTAAGGCATTTGTTGTCTCTCCCAAAGCAAATTACTTCCTTTGGTTCTCTCTGCCTCGTCTTGAAAGGTCTCACTCCTTGGTCTGAACACAACGTTCTGGCAGAACTTTTCCTCACTGGGTGTCTGAATTCTGGGCTGTTTAGATGGGAATGTTTAGGTTGGAGAAGTGGAGATGCATCACTTATCTGTTCAGCTCTGGCGTTTTTCTGTAACAAATGGTTCTTGGTACCTAGAGGCCTCTGAGCTCGTGGTCACTGGAGGTTCAACAGGGAACCTTGTACCAAAGAACTTCATGAAGATCTTAAACAATAGAGTTATGTCTCTTCATAAAGATGGCCTGGGCTGTAACTAACTGCCAACACCCTGAAACAGTGGCCAAAGTACAGGATCCACTCAGAACAGGCCCCACCATGGTCCACTCAGGAGTGGAGTCATATCCAGAGGGGGAACTTTAGAAAAGCCTAGGCATGGGTTTACTTTTCCAGGGAATCCAGCCAATGACTTTCTATGGATCTATACTGACATCTGCTTGAAATTAAAAGTGACTGATACAGAAATATTTAGCCGGGGAATAAAGAGACAAGGAGCTACTGAAGGGGAAAGGCTAATTGGTCAGACCGGATCTAAGGGGTCGGATATCAGACGTGGACCAATGGCTTCCCTAACCACAGCTGCTCAGTAGTCTGGCAGAAGTCAGCAGTGGATTTAGCTGCGAAACAGTCAAACACTGAAGATCAGCTAAGAACAGGAAACTGAGGCTACAATTTGCACAAGCTCATCGAAATTGGACAATAGAAGATTGGAAAAACGTTGCCTGGTCTGATGAGTCTCGATTTCTGCTGCGACATTCGGATGATAGGGTCAGAATATGGCGTCTACAACATGAAAGCATGGATCCATCCTGCCTTGTATCAACGGTTCAGGCTGGTGGTGGTGGTGTCATGGTGTGGGGAATATTTTCTTGGCACTCTTTGGGCCGCTTGGTACCAATTGAGCATCGTTGCAACGCCACAGCCTACCTGAGTATTGTTGCTGACCATGTCCATCCCTTGATGACCACAATGTACCCAACTTCTGATGGCTACTTTCAGCAGGATAATGCGCCATGTCATAAAGCTGGAATCATCTCAGA